AGCCCAGTTCCTGTAACTCTACAGCATCATCTTTACCCAACTCTCAGAGAAGTCCTATGACCCAGAAATACTTGGGAACAATGTTTAATCATTAGATCCTTCCAAAATGAAGAGAAAAAATGCATTAACTCAGAAACTTAAGAAAAACCAGGACTTCTGGATACTTTCTATTTGGAAATCGTGAAATTCTAGTATATGTATATAATCCTTTATTCTACTCATATTTTTTGAGGGATATAAGAATTTTGACCTCAGACTCATCCTGAAACTCTGAAATAATGAGTGAAGAACTCTTGTTCAAAATACCTTATCCAGAGTTGTTCTTATTACTCCAAAGGCTTCTTTTCAAAGAAATGTCCTACCTCTAACAGTCACTGCAGTCTTCCAGGGGTGGGAGCCTTGGGGGTGGGGATGAAGCTAGGTTTTGGATGCTGAGGCTGTTAAGGTTAATGACGTCAGGTCAAATAATTGCCATATATTTTTTCTCATTACCTCACTGGCTTCCTCTGTTATAGCAGTAAGATATACAGTATAAATACTTAAATACATACAGTATAGGGAGATATTTTAAAATGAAATGACTTCAAAATTATTCCTCTAGGGATAGTACAGAATGTGTCTGCCTATGAGGTAGAAGGAATAGCCTCTCCTAAATTTTAAGATCCGAATTAGAGAGAAGAGGAGCCAAACTTGGGCTAGGCTAGGGATTTAGGACTTAGCCTCTCTTATGGATGTAATTATGTTTTTCCTGTAAAGCTGCAGACATAGAAAAGATGACTTCAAATAATACATGCAGACAGCACAAAGGCCCACATGTTTAACTTCACAATTAGATTGAAACTGCAGCAATAAAAAATTGGTGTGTAGAATCCTAATCCATTAAAACAAAACAAAACAATAATTTTAGAGGACATCTCAAACAGATGAGAGATTAAGAAACTTAGGGCCTTGATAGCTAAGAGACCTTCCAAGGGTCACACAACTGTCAGAGACAAATTAGTCAGGCCTCTACATATATTTTACATTATCAACTACCTGCTTTATACTGTTGTGAAACAGAAGTTAAACCCTCAAATTTAGGAATCTAAATGTAAACTGCTTTATTCTATGAATAGGAGAATTTTGAGATATGTCAAGGTCAAAGAGAAACTATAGAAAACTATATTACATATTTTCCTTTTGTCATTTTTCAATAAGCTCTATATTCCTCCATGGCAACTGCTTTTGGCTAGATATACAAGCTGTGGAAACATTTTTCCTGGATTCATCTACTCCCTGGAAAGAAAATTCAATCTGGCTTAAGAGAAAAAATTCCTCTCCGTGTAATAATAAATTGTCTACAGTGAAAGCTCACACCACAAGCAAAGTTGAGCAGTACAGTTATCCTAAAAAATTAAATTTTCATCTAGTGAATCTGAATGATATTTTGAGTAAAAATACTTCTGTTTTTAAGGCCTACTCCCAGGTAACCAAAAACACAATCATAATGATATTTTTTCTTCATTTTTATAATCTCTGTTTTTAGTGAAATGTTTATTTTCTTTCAATGCAATCACCAATAATACTATTTTTATAAGAAAAAAAAAAAAGCCTGTACATGTTGATGTATAATGATCCATGCAGCTTTGCTGAAACTAAATATAAACACATTTTTTAATGTGTCAAGAAGTTTATCCACACAAAATGTTCAGTGTGCAAAGTTTTCTTTTGTACTCTACTGAAACTAAATTTCATATTTTCATACAATTTATATAATCTGATTCTGTGTTTCAAATTTACCCAAAATATTATCTCTCTAATAGCCTCACTAAATAGTTTAGGATATAGTTGCCTACCAAAACATAGATATAGGCCAAGAGAACAGAACAGAGGCCTCAGAGACAGCTCCACACATCTACAATCATCTCATCTTTGACAAAGTAGGCAAAAACAGCAATGGGGGAGATTCCCTGTTTATTAAATGGTGTTGGGAAAATTGAGTAGCCATGTGTAGAATGCAGAAACTGGACCCCTTCCTGACACTTTACACTAAAATTAACTCCAGATGGATTAAATATTTTAACACAAGACCTACCACCATAAAAACCCTAGAAGAAAATCTAGGCAAAACCATTCAGGACACAGGCATAGGCAAGAACTTCATGGCTAAAACAGCAAAAGCATTGGCAACAAAAGCCAAAATAGACAAATGGGATCTAATTAAACTTAAGAGCTTATACACAGCAAAAGAAACAATCATTAGAGTGAACAAGCAACCAACAGAATGGGAATTTTTGCAATCTATCCATCTGACAAAAGGCTAATATCCAGAATCTACAAAGAACTAAAAGCAGATTTACAAGAAATAAACAAACAAACCCATTCAAAAGTGGGCAAAGGAGATGAACAGACAATTTTCAAAAGAAGATATTTATGTGGCCAACGAACATATGAAAAAATGCTCATCATCACTGGTCATTAGAGAAATGCAAATCAAAATGACATTGAGATACCATCTCAGGCCAGTAAGAATGGTGATCATTAAAAAATCTGGAGACAACCAATGCTGGAGAGGATGTGGAGAAATAGGACCACTTTTACACTGTTGGTGGAAGTGTAAATTAGTTCAACCATTGTGGAAGACAGTGTAGCGATTCCTCAAGGACCTAGAAATAGAAATTCCATTTGACCCAGCAATCCTATACTGGGTATATACCCAAAGGATTATTAATCCTTCTATTATAAAGACACATGCACACATATGTTCATGGCAGCACTGTTTACAGTAGCAAAGACCTGGAACCAACCCAAATGCCCATCAATGATAGACTAGACAAGGAAAATGTGGCACATATACACCATGGAATACCATGCAGCCATAAAAAATGATAAGTTGGTGTCCTTTGTAGGGACATGGATGAATCTGGAAACCAACATTCTCAGCAAACTGACATAAGAACAGAAAATCAAGCACCGCATGTTCTCACTCATAGGCCTCATAGGCGGGTGTTGAACAATGAGAACACATGAACACAGGGAGGGGAGCATCACACACTGGGGTCTGTTGCAGGGGCTAGGGGAGGGACAGTGAGGGGTGGAGAGGTTGGGGAGAGATAACATGGGGAGAAATGCCAGATATAGGTGACGGGGGGATGGAGGCAGCAAACCACCTTGCCGTATATGTACCTATGCAACAACCCTGCATGATCTGCACATGTACCCCAGAACCTAAGATATAATTTAAAAAAAAAAAAAGATGTAGTTGATTTAAACTACTAGTCACAAACCTCAAGAATCATTTTTTTACAAACAATACATTCATTTTTTCTTTTGCATAACTCTCTCTAGGCCCCAAACTATCTTTCTAAATTCATCTCCCACTTTTTCTCATTCTTCTCCAGCTCTAGGTGCCGTGATCTGGTGTCTTCCTGTCTGTGTCTCATGCTTCTCCACCTGTCTTGCTCAGCTGATATGCTCTTTCCTCTAACAGCCAGAAACTTAAATTCTGCCCAGCCTTCAAGAGCCTAGTCAGATACCTTCCTAGTGTCACAGCATTTCCTAATAACTTGGTCAGGAATAATCTCATCTGCCTGACAAACTGTAGGCCTTTCATTTCTTCCTGCTGCACCATCACCTTTTGCCTCACAGGATCTTTAGGGAATAACTGATTATGGAGGTAAGAGTGAAAACTTAAGAGCCATACAACGTGAGTTCAAATCCCACCAATATACTGGCTTTACTGTGGATCTTGGAAATATACTTTAACCTCTCTTAGATCCAATTTCATCATTTTTCCAATGAGATGACTATAGGGCCTGCTTTATAAAGTTGTAATTATCTAAGATTATACATATAAAACATATTGAAAGGTGTCTAATACCTAGAAAGTGCTCAATAAACATAAGCAACTACCAATACCTTAATTTTATTACTATTACCATCATTATTTGGAGTGGAAAGAGCTTCTACTAATAATAAAGTGACCCAGGAAGTTGCCTAATCTTTTCAAGTTTTTGTTTTTTTATCTGTACTAAAGCAAAGCTTCTGCACAGCAAAGGAAACAATCAATAAAGAGACAACCTGCAGAATGGGAGAAAATATTTGCAAACTACCTATCCAACGAGGGATTAATAACCAGAAATTATATAAGAAACTCAAACAACTCAATAGCAAAAAAACAAATAATTTGATTTAAAAATGGACAAATGATCTAAATAGAAGCTTCACAAAAGAATGCATATAAATGGCCAATAGGTATGTGAAAAAAAAAATGTCCAGCATCACTAAAAATCAGAGAAATGCAAATCAAAACCACAATGACATTAATTCACTCCAGTTAAAATGACTATTATCAAAAGGACAAAAAATAATAAATACTGGCAAAGACATAGAGAAAGGGGAATACTCATACACTATTGGTAGGAATGTAAATTAGCACAGCCACTGTAAAAAACAGTATGAAAGTTCCTCAAAAAACTAAAAATATATCTACCGCGTGATCCTGCATTCCCACTGCTATGTATATATCTAAAACAAAAGAAAATTAGTGCATCAAAGAGATTATCTACATTCCCATGTTTATTGTAGCACTATTTACAATAGCCAAGGTAAGGAAGGAATCCAAGTATCTATCAGTGAATAAATGTATAAAAGAAAACACGCCATATATATAATTAATATACATATGGCAAATCTATGGCATATATACACACAAATACATATATAAGTATATTAATATATTATTTATATATGTAAATAACTTAGTGTATATTTCAAAATACCTAGGAGCTTTGGAATGTTCCCGACACAACAAAATAATATTTGAGGTGACAAATATTCAAATTACCCTAGTTTGATCATTACACATTGTATGCATGTATCAAAATATCACCTGTACCCCATAAATATGTATAATTATATAATAGTAAAAACTTAAAAATTTTTGAAGTCATCACCAAAAAATTGTATTTGTCTTATTATTCATTATCTATTGCTGCATAACAAATTATCCCCAAACTTACTTCTTTGAAAAACATTTATTACCTTGTGAGTCCTATGGGTAAGGCATATAAGGTCTTGTGATTCAGAATTTATCACAAGGCTGCAATCAAGGTGTCCACAGAGCTGCAGGCATTTCAAGGATCAACTGGGGAAGGATCTGCTTCTCCATTCATGCTCTTGTTGCAGGCAGAATTTATTTTGCACAAGCTGTTGTTCTTGGCGTTATCAGTTACATTCTGGCTGTTGGTCACAGGTGTGCTCAGCTTCTTGACATGTGGGTCTCTTTCAAAGGCAGTTTACCACATTGTAGCTTGCTTCATCAAAGCAAGCAAATAAGAGAGCAAGAGCGAGACAGTGTAAGCAAGAGAAATGTCATAGTTTTCTGGAACCCAGTCTCAGAAATGATACACTATCACTATTGTCCTACTCTGTTCATGGAAAGAGTCCCTGAGTCAAGCCTAGCTTCAATGAAGGGAGATCATACAAGGGTGTGAGTGCTATGTGATGGAGATCATTGGGTCATCTCAGAAGGCCTCCTACCACACCTCATAAAGTTACTGTAGAAATTAGATGGGATTAATGTGTCTGTAGTTCATTGTAGACTACCTAGGACACAGCAGATATGCCACAAATACGAATTTATTCTTCCCTCCTTAGTAGAATAAAAATCTTAGGAGTCAAAGATATAATCAGTGAGCCCTGCAGTACCTAAGCACTCTGCTAATGCAACTTCGTTCTCAACAACCACTAGAGGCACAAATGATACCGACATTACTGTTAACAATCTCTAATATTATCATCATTTTCAGAAGGGTCAACTTATTACCTTTCAGCAGTGACTCATTTACAGTACAAGAGTGTGGTAGGCAGAATAATGGTCCCCCAAAGAGGTCCTTACTCCAATCCCCAGAACTTGTGAATTAGTTAATTTACATAGGAAAATGTACTTTGCACATGTCATTAAGTTAAGGTTCTTGCTGACATGGTTTATCCAGGTGGGTCCAATTTTATCACAAGAATCCTTTAAAAGCAGAGAAGTGTTCCTGGTTGTGGTCAGAGAATCAGATGTGATTATGATGATTAGAGAGATACAACGTTGCAGGCTTTGAAGATTGAAGAAAGGGGCCAAGAGCCAATGAACGTGGACAGTCTTCCAAATGAGAAAAGTCAAGAAAACAGATTCTAGCCTACACACTCCAGAAAAGACTGTTGCCCTGCTGACAACTTGATTTTAGGTTGGTGAGATTATTGTTGGACTTCTGATCTATAGAACAATAATATAATAAATTTACATTTTTCCCCCTTTATTTTATTGCATTTTAGGTTTTGGGGTACATGTGAAGAACATGCAAGATTCTTGCATAGGTACACACGTGGCAGTGTGATTTGCTGCATTCCTCCCACCACCTACATCTGGCATCTCTCCCGTTGCTATCTCTCCCCAGCTCCCCACCCCCAACCGTCCCTCCCCTATTTCCCCCCAACTGACCCCAGTGTGTAGTGCTCCCCTCCCTGTGTCCATGTGTTCTCATTATTCAACACCCACCTATTTTAAGCAACTAAGTTTGTGGTAATTTAAGGGCAACAGAAAAATACTACAAAGGGAAAATATGTTAAGTTTGTCCTGAGAGAAATCACACACAAGTACTCTCTAAATATTGAAGAAATATATGATTATTAATGTACAATATTAAAAATCATTGAGTAAAACAACTTCTAGTTGAAAAACACCATTACAAAGTACAGAACTATGTTTTTTTAATTATTGGATTTCAAGACCATTACCTATCATCAAAAGCAATGAGAACTATTATGTTTTTATTTAACAAACACTTATAGAACAATTACTATGTGGTAGATATGACAGTGTCTAAAGTTATAGACACTTTATAAATATTACTCGTTTAGTTCTATTAACTTAAAAGACAGTTACTATTATCATCCTTCTTCCACAGACAAAGAACAGACACAATATTGATGAGCTTTTCCAAGCAAACTCCCCCAAGCTTGCAAGTGGCAGAGCCAGAATTCAAACTCAGATACTCTAGCTCCAGAGTACTTGAGTTGTGCTTCTTCTAAAATCATAACTGAATTGTATATAATAATGATAATGAAACCATATATATTCCCCAAACTTGTTTCACATATTCATTTTGATTTAAGCACGCTAAAAAATTGTATATATTCTGGATTATTTTTTCCCAAATCATTCATTGACCAATTATTTACTAAGTACCTCATATGCCACAGGCATAGAGGAAAAAGAGAAATGAATAAAACAATGAGTCTCCCCTTAAAGAATTCACAGATTAGTGACATAAGACAGATGACACAATAATACAATAATTTATATTATGAAATAATATAAATTCTTTCAAACAAAACCATCTCTTATGGCCCTATTCTCAATGAGTTCCTGATTTAGAAGGGAAGACAAGTATTTAAATGAACAACTGTGGGACACCTTATGAGTTACAGTAGAAGCATGTAGCTGGTGCCAAGAGGCACAGAAAAAAAAGAGGAATATTTGTAGTAACTGGCAGAGGGGACACCAAATGGTTTGAAGAAGGAGAGTGACACATAGAGTTTTGTAGTGTAGAGATCATTCCAGCAAGCAAAGAGGACATTGAGCCTGAAGGGCAGTGAGGCTGGAAGCCACCAATTTGTTAAGAGATCACTTAAAATGCAGGGATAATAAGAGTTTGAATTAAGGCAACTGCAGGAAAGATTATTAGGAAAGAGAGTGAATTTGGAGTGGTATTAGCAGGCATTATGGACAGGGACCCAGGATATGTCATTGTCCATACCCTCACAATCCCCTCCACAACACATGGGTCTCCCTCAAAGAATAATAGCAAATGAGAACAGTGAGAAGTTAGAATTGATGGCTGTATAAATATCCAGCAGAGGATTGGCAAGAGAGAGTCTCTGGAATGTGTGAAAAGTCCTGGTGTCCTTCTAGAGAGTTGAACATTAGCCTGCAGATACTAGGATCTGGACAAAGTGTTTAGAATGCATGATCAGGTAACACTGAAAGTACCATGGTTAGAAAGATAGATGCTAGACTGGAGTGAGAAGAAATCAGTCTGAGAAAAAAGATAGCACTGTAGTGCATTAAAGTTAAAATTTTAATTTTCAGTTTTTTGTTTCGCAAGAAGAGACTGATATCTAAAGGAGACATTTCTTTTTATAATAAATACAGTTTTTAAAAGTTGAATTGTCATCATTAATTATAGCTAGCAATTGCTTGCAGTGCATAATGTTTCAGTCAATGATAGCCCACATATACAACAGTGGTCTCATAAGATTATAATACTATATTTTTACTGTACTTTTTCTATGTTTAGACATGTTTACATACACAAATACTTACCATAGTACTCGGTACAGTAACATGCTGTGCAGGTTTGTAGCATAGAAGCAAAAGGTTATACCGTATAGCCTAGGTGTATAGTAGACTACACCATCTAGTCTACTATATATATACTTGTTTAAGTATACTCTATGATGTTCACACAACAAAATAACCTAATGACACACTTCTCAAAACATATCCCTATCATCATGAAATCGAAGACTGTATGTAGAGGCAGTGTTCTAAGCACCTTACGTATAGTATTTGTTTAATTCTCAAGTATTATTATTGGTTCAATTTAGTTTATTGTTAAGTCACAGAGAGGTTAAGTAACTTGCCCAGGGTCATTCAGTGAACAGGTAGGTAGAATTTGAATCCACAAAGTGATGTCAGAAGTTGAATTCATAGCCACGATCAACACATGTTTAGTTAAATACAGATATGTAGAAATTATTTTTATTATGTTGAGGTTCAGAGCACGCACAAACTCTGAAACCAGACTGCCTAGGTTCAAATCACCATTTCGCCATTTAATAGCTGAAAGAAATTTGACAAGTTACTTCAGCCCTCAGTATCTGTTTCCTTATCTGTAAGCAGTAATAATAATAGTGTTTGCCTCCCAGGGTAGTTTTGAGGATTAAACGAGTGAATTCAGTAAAAGGGCGCAGAGAAGTACCTTGAGCCTATTACATAACCAATAAAATTCACCTATTATCAATATCATTATTCTAACATAAAGTATTGAGAACAGTGGTATGAAATACTGGATATACTGCATGGCCCCAATTGAGATCTAAGGTAGGAAGAATAATGGCTCCTAAATATATCCATTCCCCCATCCCTGTAACCTGTGAATATGTTACATTATTATGGCAAAAGGGAATAGCAGATGTAATTAAAGTTATGAACCTTGAGAGGGGTAGATTCAGTCTAATCAATGGATTCTTAAAAGGCTGTAATTGGAGAGATACAACAATGGAAGAAGAGGAAGGAAATATTTAGAAGGATGAAGGGGTCTCAGTCCACTGACACTGACTTTGAAGATGAAGATGGCCATAACCAAGGACCATGAGTGGCCTCTCAGCTGACAGCCAGCAAAGAAACAGAACAACAGCTACAACAGCAAAGGGACAGAATTTGTCCAACAACTTGAATAAGCAAAAATTCAGATTCTTCCCTTAACCCTCTAGAAAGGAACACAGGCCTGTGGACACCTTAATTCTAGGCCTTTGAGAACCATGTTGGACTTCTGACCTACAGAACTGTAAGGTAATATATTGGTGGTGTTTTGAGCTTCTAACTTGGTTACAGAAATAGTATTAATAGTAAACTAATATAAGATCTATGCCTAACTTTTTCCTAAAAGAGTCAAACATACTGATTTACAAACTATATAATATTCTAAAATAAATTTAACTTCTTAAAGTCAGCATTTTAAAACTAATTGGGGCATGAAGCAATGTCTTATACATTTCCATTATTAAATCATTAGAATCTAAAAGTTGCTAAAAGGCTAAAGAGGACATAATATAAAATATTTTCATCTTTTCTATGTATTTAAACATAAAAAGATTCAATAAAAATTTTTCTTTAGCTTCTCATAGTTAATGAACAAATTAACTTTGATTTTTTTTCCCCAATTTTTTTTTAAGTCCACAGCCAAGTTATAATGTGAAGACTTTTTTTTTTTTTTTTTTTTTTTTTTGAGATGGAGTCTCGCTCTGTCACCAGGCAGAAGTGCAGCGGTGTGATCTCGGCTCACTGTAACCTCTGCCTTCCAGGTTCAAGCAATTCTGCCTCAGCCTCCTCAGTAGCTAGGATTACAGGTGCCCACCACGATGCCCGGCTGATTTTTGTTTTAAGTAGAGATGGAGTTTCACCATGTTGGCCAGGATGGTCTCGATTTCCTGACTTCATGATCCGCCCACTTCGGCTTCCCAAAGTGCTGGGATTATAGGCGTGAGCCACCACTCCTGGCCACTAATAAAGACTCTTAACATGTCACTAGGAATATATAAATTCTAGGTTTAAAATAACTCATGTTTTGCATTTACAGAGGTAAGCACTTACTAGGAAGCAAAATATTCTATGCTGTGGTTATTATTTACTTATTCAATGTCTCTGAATCAATATGAATTAGTTCTCAGAGAGTAAGGGCCACGTCTGTTTTCTGTCTTCACATTTTTATCAACACTACCTAGCAAAACTCCCTGGCCTCAGCAAGCTTTTGTTAAGTAAATGAATGAAAAATAAATATATTTCTAAAGTATAAGAAACTGCAAATAAAGCTTCCCTGGAACCTCAGCTCACTAGCTCATGGGAAAACTAACAAGGTATACCGTATCTGCAGGTTAAACATTAAAATCTAGAATTGATTTTAAACATTTTCAACAGAATTTTAAGTGTTATACGTTTCCCCACATTCTTGAGATTCATTAAACATGTTTCAAGTTTCTTGATACCTTTAATATTTTCATTTGATACTGTGTGATGTTCACATGACCTACATAAGGCTCTATGAACCAGAACTTCTTTTCTGAAAATGTCCTTTATGTCAAGTCTTTGTGTGTATTTCCCCCCCACCTCAAAAATTAAGTGAAGCACAGTACATCTATAGGCTACCTGAGAGGTACAGCGTGGTTGCTTTTCTTCACAATTGCTAAATGAAAGGTGTACTCTTCTTCAACGCGATTTTCTTACTCTTAGAACTGCAGTATCTATTAGAAATATAATGGAAACCACATACCTAATTTAAAATTTTCCAAAACATTCTCCTTTTGACATGTAATCAGTATAAAATTAATGAAATATTTTACACTCTTTTTCTTTTCAGACCATGCTTTAGAAATCTGGTGCATGTTTTACAGTTAGGGTAGAACTCAGTTCAGACTAGCCACTTTTCAGGTTTCCATTGACTAATATATTGGACAGCTGTAGCTCTAGAAAATCCACTCCCAAACCCCTGTGAGCTACATACCCTATCCACTTACAGCTTCTACTCTTATTTCGTTTGTACCATTGTTGCACAATTTGGATAGCATTAGAGTTCATTAATAAATTTTCTTTTATCTGGCCATAATATTTCATAGGATGAGTTTAGCAAGTCTGCTCCACGGGTAGTTTCTGAAATAAAAATACAAGCAAAAAAAAAAAAAAAAAAAAAAAAAAAACTTTTCTAATAACACCGTTTCTACAGGATAAGCTCTCCCTCCAATGCCTAACAGAGCTTTTGTAGAAGTTGAGTGCTCCTTGGAGGGACGGGGAGTCGAGACTGGGGGCAAGAACCAAGAAGGTCTTAAACCCTACTCTGTGATGGAATCCTAAGAGCCTGCGTTCATCCAAACCTTAGAACTCTCCAGAGAGACGCTGCCAACCATACCTCAGAACGAGAAGGCAATGGCGATCCTCAACGCCGGCTACACGTCACTGCCTGGTGAGCACTCTTCCCTCAGACCCCACTTCCAGAAACTCTGCCTTCATTCCCCAGGGGTCGGAGACCTGGCTGCTCGAGTTCCTAAGTGTTACCGGGGAGATCTGACGGCCTCTGGGGGCGGGAAACCTGAGGCCAGGCGCGGGCGGCTGGGAAGGCGAGAGCGCGTCCGGTCTGCTCTACCGGGTCTCAAGGGAGCGCTTTGCAGGGCAGATAACTGACGGGCCAGGCACCTGCCTTCCTGAGCCTGCAGAGATCAACAAGCTACCCTCCCTGTGCACACAGGCCCTCAGGACCAGTAGGTCTCCAAGAGCCGCGCAACTGCCCCAGGCCCGAAGCCGCCACCTGTCCGAGGGCTCCCTCCCAACCAGGCCATCCCTCAGCCCGTCCTCCTCCTACAGCGAATAAGGAACCCCAGAGGTGCGGAGGCTTCTGGCCGCCACCCAGCGGCGCTTGTCGGAGGCTGTTGGCGGCGGCCACAGGCCGAGAAAACCCTGCCCTCACAAGCCCCGGCTTCCCCTAGGCCCCTTGACACTTGTAGCCTCTTCACTTGCGGCCCCTGACCCGGGCCTGACTGGTTCGTGACTCTCCTGCCAATCAGAGACAGAGTTCCTCCTGGCAACCGACCAATCATCGTGCGCGGGTGTCCGCCTTGGCTTCTCGGCCCTTCGGCTCTTCGGCTTTTCTGCGTTCGGGATTGTTTGGCCATCTCTGGCCTTCCGCAGCGCTAAAGCGCAGTTCTAGTTGGTGTAACTTTTTTTTTTTTTTTCAGCCACTTCCGGCTCCTGCGTCGCTCCGGAAGCCCGCGAGTTCCGGAAGCCTTGGTAATCTGGATTCGGCTAGGAAAAGACAAGCTTTCCAGAGAATGTTTCAGAGAAAGTTACGTGGAGCGTGGGCGTTTCGCAGCCTCCTAAGGTCAGTGTCTGCCCTAGAGAGCCGTAGTGCAAACCCGAGGTCATGTTTTCAGCTGGGAGGTCGTGGTGTTTCACGACCTTGTAATTGTCGCCCTTTGCATTTTTCCCTGTTTATTGGCTTCCTGTCTTCCTGGAAGAGGTAAATCAAAGCCTATGAATTTAGGAAAAGGCAGTGAAGCAAACCTAAACTCCTGAAGATGTTTTTAGGATCGTGCCATTAAAAATAAACACACATAGCTGCAGTTGAGTTCCTTTGCATTCCACGTAGTGACTAAAGAGAGGAACTTCGAAATATTTTTCTCCCACTTGGCGGTCGTGAAGATATTCACCTCTTATAAACGGCTTTACAAAGAATTCAGGATCCAAGCGTTACTTAATATCTGAAGATTCATGTAAAGTGTTATATGTGGTACAAAAAATTTGAGTATGCTTATGTTTCTAACATTGTTGAAAGCGCACGTAAAAGCAGTTTGGTTTTTTAAATGAGGGAAAAGATAATGAACAGTTTCTGATAAAATTGCTTGCGATAAATTAGTTATATTTCACACTGACTTTTGATAAGAAATCTGAATGAGAATCGTTAACATTGTTTTCTGGGCTCTTAAATTAAAAATCGTTATTTATTTATTGAGGTTCCGTTTTACAAATTTCCCACATTCAGTGAAAGGGCTTTTGACAAAATGAGCAAGCTGTTGAACGTTCAAGTCTAACACATTCTGTTAAACTTCCATGATGCCCCATGGAAATACTTTATCTTGAAGTTTTCAGGCAATTACAACGATACTGGTGCTCTCGAAGCACCACAGCTTGTAGTCTGAACACCTTCCCCTACGAATGTTACCTTTACTTAGTCCTGAACAGAATGAACTTGGGGTGACTGACTTGTTTTTAACTTATTTGATCTCACCTATATTATCAGTTACTTGTTTACAGAAAGATTACAGTTGAGTGATCTTGAGGCAGAAGGAGATTTGAAAGAAGTATTTACAAAGTCAAAAAAAAAAAAAAAAAGAACTTCATATTTTCTTCTTAAAAAAAAAAGAGCTAATACTGGACTATTAGACTAAAGAATATTAGACTAAATCAAGAGAGTTGGGTTCTAGTCCTGACTCTGGTTGCCTTTGAAGAACTTTACCTCTTGACCATATTCTTCTCATTTTTTAGAAATTAGTGGTAGTACTCAGTCTGTGGTTTTAAAACTGTTCCATAGGAGAACTCCTGTAGAAATTTTCTGGAGCCATGCAGGGAGAGACAGAGCAAGCCGACCCTCAGGTTTATTAAAAAAGAGCAGCTGTTTAATGTGTTCTGCTTGAGTAACAGGGTTTTTGTTAAGAATTTTACATTTGTATCTTAAACGAGATGATCTGCCTTTTCTTCTAGCATTAAAATTTTGTTTTTTAAGGATAGTTATTGATTTGTATTCAGTGTACATTTATTTATTACAGTTTTTAAAAATAATATATTCTCAGCTAATTTATTTCTAAAAGCTACAAACATGTCCATATTGTTTCAATTTATTTTATAAAAACAAATTTGAAATTTGACTTTTTTATTTATGATCAGAATCAGAATTATTATTTTCTCTTTATTATACCTTCTTCTTTTAGCCATAAAAGCTTTGCTTATATTTGTTGCACGTAATGATTTTTGCCGTAAGGAGGAGAAGTATTTTTCATTTTACATGTTTGGTAGCTGAACATTAAAAATATTAGAAGGCTTGCTCATCATCACATCAGTAGCGAAGTTCTTGGTCCTGACTCCATGTTTTTCTCACAACATCAAGTAATTGTAAAGTTTCTTTCCCTCTTGCACCCATCCACGCGTTCAGATTCCTATAGCACAAGGAAAATGTGTGAATAAGCACAATCTTTATATCTGGCCAGAAGTTCTCTCTTAAATTACTTCATTTTTTACTCTTTTGATGATCTGAGTTGGACAACCCAGAAGCAAATTGGATGTTCTCTGTCTCTCTTTTCTGTGAAGTGATAGCAGTCTGTAAATACTTCATGTTCCTTTTCCATTCCTTTGGAATGTATAAGAAACCTCAGGAGAAAAGCCCTTAATTGCCCCATTCGCCCTATGTCTGTAATCCTGCTCTTTTAAACCTCACCCTGTGGTTTCTTTACATGGAAGTGGAGGCAAGGAAGGGATGTCTAGTTTTCTCTGCCCTTCCCTGTGTGTGATATTAATCTTCTCCCTAACGTATTCCCATCTATACAATAAAAATATCCTGTTCTATGTTGCTTCTTACTCTATTTAATATATTTTCTTTTTATCAGAGATCTCCCTTCTTACTGCCTGTCAATAACATGAGATAAAATTCCATCCAAGTTATATTTTCTTTCTTCTTACTAATAAAACAAAAACCAAGAACTTCAGAGTATATTTTGATTATGCCTAACTACTGTCTTTTTTTTTTTTTTTTTTTTTTTGAGACTGAGTCTCCCTCTGTTGCCCAGGCTAGAGTGCAGTGCCACAGTCTCAGCTCACTGCAGCTTCCGCCTCCCAAATTCAAGCAATTCTCCTGCTTCAGTAGCTGGATTACAGTTGCCTGCCACCATGCCCAGCTAATTTTTGTATTTCTAGTAGAGCTAGGGTTTCACCATGTTGGCCAGGCTGGTCTTGGACTCCTGACCTCAGACAATCCACCCACCTCAGCCCACTGTCTTTTAGTGTTAGATGAATGAGTTGGCATTGCCTCTAACTGCATGTATGTTTATCAAATAGTTATTGTTCACACCTTGGGTTTGTCACTCATATATTCCCTTTGTTCAGATTTGACAGTCCCTTTGAATGGTCCTTTGACCACATATATAGAGGCAGCAAGAGGGAATATAGATAAGATACATCCAAAGCAATAAGGACAACTTTACCACATTCCTTTAATTTCTTTCCCCATCTATAGTCATGACAGCTTGACTGGCAGTCTGGTCTTTTGAATGATTTTGAGGGGTGAAAAGATTTCCTTTGAGTTCTGTGGGATTAAATTTGATCCAAGCTTAGCAAATATCCATTCTATTAAGTGTATTTTGTGTATTCTACAGTTTTCCTAGTGTTTACTATAAATTTACTAATTGCCAGCTTGACTTTAGATGGGTTGTTAAATCTTCTCAAGCCTTAATTTTTGTCTTTTTAAAATGGAGGTGATAATACTGTATTTACTGTGTTGTGAGGATTAAATGAGATAAAGAATGTAAAGGAAATTTATAGTGCCTTGCACATAATATATATCACATGGTAGTTCCTCCTATTCCATTTATAATGGCTCTTTGTTCCTTTAGGGATTTTTCTGCATTCTCTTATACCATAAAATGTTCAATTAAATGTGTGTTTCAAAGATTTTCAAGTCATTTAGAATTCTTAAGCAATTAGATTCTAAAGCCCATTTTAAAATTTATAGAATATTTAAAGATCTAGCTGCTCATACATTTTATGTGTGTCTTGTTTGCTCATCCTTGCACTAGTATTTTTCCCATCGTTTATGCCTATGCCCTTAGTACTTGACCTCTTTAAGATAGTCGCATCTGTGTGACCTGTGGTAGCATCCTAAAGTGTTCATGTTTAACTTTTAGGCCCATCACCACATTGTCAGTATAGGAAACTGTTGTAGAGCTGGTTCTGCCACTTCTGGTCCTGGGATTTTACCCAAGTTAGCTAATCTCTGCGCCTCAATTTTCTTGTTTTAGAACAGACATAACAGAACCTCTTTATTAGTATTGTAA